CTTGGCACTGCTAATTCTATATTTAAGAAGTTTCGGTATCAATATAAAACCAATGATCTTTTGCTTGATTTGAAGTATTGCCTGGACAATTTTGCGGCTCCCTTGTTAATATAAAACCAATGATCTTTTGCTTGATTTGAAGTATTGCCTGGACAATTTTGCGGCTCCCTTGTTAGAAATTTTTCTCAAAACTGCTGCTTTAATTGATTCTGCTGTGACCTCGGGTGCTCCTGCGGCCACTCTCCGGCCCCTGTTCGAGTCTCAGAGGCTATGTTGTAGGATATTTTATTCCTTGAATTTTCAAGAGCTTCCCGAGTTCTTTGAGGATCATATGAAAGAGTGGATGGGTGAATTCCGGAAATATCTTACTATCAATTATCCTGCACTTGAAAGTAGTGGCAATGATGTGCTTGCTTTAGTTGATGAACTTCGTGCTGCAGTTTGCGAGAATATTAATCTTTATATGGAAAAAAACGCTTGCTTTAGTTGATGAACTTCGTGCTGCAGTTTGCGAGAATATTAATCTTTATATGGAAAAAAACGAAGAGGAGTTTCAGGGGTACTTGAATGATTTTGCTCTTGCTGTCTGGGGCTTACTGGGGAATGTATCTCAGTCATCGAGTCGGGACCAGCTGGCTGTTACGGCCATGAAGTTTTTGACTACTGTTAGCACGAGTGTACACCACACCTTATTTGCAGGCGAGGGAGTGATACCTGAGATTTGTAAGAGCATAGTTATTCCCAATGTGAGGCTGAGGGATGACGACGAAGAACTATTTGAAATGAACTATGTTGAATTCATTAGGAGGGATATGGAAGGTAGCGATCTGGACACTAGAAGGAGGATAGCTTGTGAACTTCTTAAAGGAATTGCAACCAACTACAAACAGCAGGTGACGGACATGGTATCCTCTCAGATACAGCAATTGTTAAGTTCATTTGGGCTAAATCCTTCTCAGAATTGGAAAGATAAAGATTGTGCAATATATTTGGTTGTCTCACTTGCCACTAAGAAAGCTGGGGGCTCTTCTGTTTCAACTGATCTTGTAGATGTTCAGAATTTCTTTGCATCAGTAATCATTCCAGAATTGAAAAATTCAGACGTTAATGGTCTTCCAATGCTTAAGGCAGGTGCGCTCAAGTTCTTTGCTGTGTTCCGTAATCTGATATCAAAACCTGTTGCATTACAAATGTTTCCTGATTTGGTTCGGTTCCTTGGTTCTGAGTCAAATGTGGTTCATTCCTATGCTGCTATTTGTATTGAAAAATTGTTGCTGGTCAAGGAGGATTCAGGTGTGGCCAGGTATAACTCTATGGATATTGCTCCAACTTTTCCCGAGATGATGACTAAGCTCTTTAATGCCTTTAAATTTCCTGAATCTGAGGAGAACCAATACATTATGAAGTGTATAATGAGAGTTCTTGGAGTTGCTGACATACCTCGTGAGGTTGCAGGACCATGCATTGTTGGGTTGACTTCTATTTTAAATGAAGTATGCAGAAACCCAAAAAATCCTGTTTTCAACCACTACATGTTTGAATCTGTGGCTCTTCTCATTAGAAGGGCTTGCGAAAGGGATCCTTCTTTAATATCAGCCTTTGAGGCTAGCCTGTTTCCCAGCCTTCAAATGATACTGGCCAATGATGTTACCGAGTTCTTCCCATACGCCTTTCAACTGTTAGCACAGCTTGTGGAATTGAATAATCCTCCTATTCCACCGAGCTACATGCAGATTTTTGAGATCCTATTGTCACCTGAATCTTGGAAAAGAGCCTCTAATGTCCCAGCACTTGTTCGGTTACTTCAAGCTTTCCTTCAGAAGGCACCTCATGAACTTAACCAAGGTGGGCGCCTGACACAGGTTCTTGGAATATTTAGTAATCTGGTCTCATCTCCAAACACTGCAGATCAAGGCTTTTATGTGCTCAACACTGTTATTGAATCTCTTGAATATAGTGTGATTGAACAGTACATTGGCCACATCTGGGCTGTTCTTTTTGGACAGCTCCAAAGTAGACGGACAGTAAAGTTCATCAAGTCACTTTTGATATTTATGTCCCTTTTTCTTGTTAAAAATGGTCATAAAAATCTTTTGGATACGATCAACAGTGTTCAGAATGGCATATTTATCCAAATCTTGAAGCAATTTTGGATACCTAATCTTAAACTGATAACTGGGGCCATTGAGCTTAAGTTAACTGCAGTTGCTTCAACCAGACTTATCTGCGAATGTCCAGCACTTTTGGATGCTGCATTTACTGAAGACTGGGGGAAAATGCTGGATAGCATTGTTACCCTTCTTTCTCGACCCGAACAGGAAAGGGTTGACGACGAGCCAGAGATGCCCGACATTGCTGAAAATGCTGGTTATAGTGCAAGCTTTGTTCGCCTATACAATGCAGGGAAGAGGGAAGATGATCCTCTGAAAGATATAAAGGATCCGAAGCAATTTCTCGTAGCATCTTTGTCGAAGCTTTCTGCTCTTTCTCCTGGGAGGTATCCCCAAGTCATTAGTCATTCTCGTAGCATCTTTGTCGAAGCTTTCTGCTCTTTCTCCTGGGAGGTATCCCCAAGTCATTAGTCAGTATCTTGACCCGACAAATCAAGCTGCACTGCTTCAGTTTTGCAGATCTTATAATTGCCCGATAGCTTGAGTAAGTTATTTAATCCTGTGGGTTGTGATTGTTAACAAGTTTATATATCAGGCACGTGTTTGTGTTTTACACTATTTGTGTTATTAATCTCTAAAGTGTTAACATCACCCTGTATCTAACGTGTACTCCTGCAACCTTTCAGGAGTTTGTGCTGAATTGAAGCAGGTTTTGGTGAACAAGTTAATCTTTAAACTTATTCATCTCTTGGCGTTATTCCATTTGGTGGCCTATTCAAGTTGTGAACAAGTTAATCTTTAAACTTATTCATCTCTTGGCGTTATTCCATTTGGTGGCCTATTCAAGTTTCATATCATCGTGTACTTCCACAGTTGTGGAAATGGTCGGTCAGGCGAATCAAACATGATTTACAAAGTTTTGGTACAACACTTCCTTCCTTCATCCTCTTTTTATGTGGTCAGTTCAAGTGTCTGTCATGTTGTGCATGCAGAGTCAGTCATGATCAAAGCATAGATGTTCATTGCGGTCTAAGAGTTGTACTGTTGGCATCGAGTTTTCCTCTCCCTTTTGCTTCTATTCTGAAATTTTCTCTTGTCATTTTGACATCACATGTAAACAAACACTTGTTATCTCATTGCTGTGATATTCAACTGCAAGTTCATATACACATCAGTTGGGTTATTGTGGTTGCTGTAGAAAGATTACTTTTTTGCAACCTTCACGTTCTTATCTGCATTTTATCTGGATGATTAGAAGTAATTACATTTTTTGGTTGTTTGAAATTTATGATAATAAAAGGTTAAATTACAAATATTTATCAGAAATAAAATTACACATTAAAAAATCTATTAAATAGTTTTCTCGTGGAAACTACAGAAAGAGCCTCTTAAACTAGGTTTTGACTAATTATATTATAGACCTCTTAACCAAACTAAACCGGAGAATGTTTTTACAAATGAGATCATATCTCGACAGGTTTTCATGAATTGGGTTGCTGATTCAGACAATTTAAATAGAGTTCATTGGTTAACCCAACTTAATCCTCTATTTTTGAGTTGAGTTGGGTTGTCGGGTTTTCTTTATTATTACTTTTAATTATTGTTATTATTTTTTTTGTAATTTAGCCACAAGGTTATCTTCTTGATCGGAAAAGAAAGGAGGCAAGAGACGAGAGAAGCAAAGAGAATAGGTTAATCGAGTCCACTTCATGAAGCGACTCATGGACAGTACCGCTCTCTCAAGCAATACCCCCTCGCCAATAGCCACCACCACCTGCTTTTCTTGTCCTTTCAGAGTTCTTAAAAGCTAAAAAGTGATGTGGGAGAATATTAGACTTTAGCTGCTTTTCTTGTCCTTTCAGAGTTCTTAAAAGCTAAAAAGTGATGTGGGAGAATATTAGACTTTAGTCCCTAGAATTTGTCTTTACAGCAATTTGATTGCTTCTAAGAACTTCACGTATGAAGTAAAATGAAGCAGAAAAGCTAAAGAATCGAAACAGAGATATATTACTTGGATCTGTTAGCTCAAATATGATCCTCATAATATACAAACAACATTCTACATATTGCAAATCTATGCTACACAGATACACAAACAGAGCTTATACTTCATTCAGAGTACGTACCCTTCTCAATTCATCCTTCATTCTAAAATCTAGGCCTACAAAGAAGGAAGCATCCACCCTACAGTCCACCCCAGAAGCAATCCTGCACTCACCAGGCTCAATCCTACAGCTATGGCAACCGCATAAGTCGAAATATCATTCCCATGCCGATCCCGCTTGATTCTTTTCTGCCTCGTGAATCTCCGCCTATTCTTGTAAGGCATCCATGGAAGACCCATTGGAAAAAGAGTGGACATTGGGTGATCATTGTTCTTATTCTGCAGGCTTTCTAGTTGCAGCAGTTGAAACCATTGCTTATATGCAAAGAGTTGGGATGCTTGTCTGAAGAACAGCTCAAATATATGCTCCTTTTCGGCATGAGCTTGCTTTGCTGCAAGCTCAGCTTCCCTCGCACGGGTTTGAGAATGAAGCAGTGCATCCATTAGCTCAGCTTTGCTAGCATTGTCTTCAGAAGTTTGTGTTGTTTTTGTCAAATTGTTGGGAATTGTACAACTGCACACAACACAGGAGTTCCAGTTATATCGTAGTATCAATCCATGCATTCGACTCGACTATTTAACTTGGCAAAAAAACTGTTCTGAAAGAATGGCAATGGTCATTTATCATATATTTTAGTCTAAGATGAGAGAATACTTAAGAATTTAATCTATCTCAACAATGTTGCAGATCAGGAAATCATAGAAATACAGTAACCAGGAATTCACATTGTACCTCAAAGATTTTTGAGCTCCACGCAGCAAGATCCCTTGCTCAGTTGATTCACCCGGTTCTCTCTGTGTTTTGCCAAAACAACAAAAATCGAGCCCGCAATTTCTGTGGTTTGACTTGAACGTAGAACCCCAATTTGTATCATGTTCATAGGATTGCTTTTGAGCATAAGGGAGTCTCTTAAGATTCAAACATGTTTTTTTAGGTGGCGGAAGATCACAATTTTCTATATGATCAAGAGATTTCTGTGCAACCCAATAGGCTAATTCATCTTTATCTGTTATCCACCACCATGGTTCAGCCTTGTCCTCTTGAATCCAAGGAGAATCTGGATCTAAGTAAAACTCATCTTGTGTTTTGGAAACTGTTTTGCAGTTGAAAGAATCCTTATCTAAACATTCAAAGTTTGCTTTCATATCTATGCTACCAAGACATTCTTGAGAGTCTGTACCATCCAAGGTCTTTACGTCTTCTTGCTTTCATATCTATGCTACCAAGACATTCTTGAGAGTCTGTACCATCCAAGGTCTTTACGTCTTCATTCATAATGGTATTCACCCTCTTTGAGCAGATATCAGAGACACCATGATCAGTGTCTAGAGAATACCTGCTGTAATCATCATTGCTACCTTCAGTAGGGTGAATATCAATTGAAGAACAAGATTTTTCAGTACCAGATTTTGAAGTTTCATTGCCAGCCTCTAAAGCATTAGAGTGTTCTGGGGTGAAAATCTTTTGGTATCCATAGCTAGATTGTGGCTGAAGCCACCATTTCGACTCGGGAAATAAACTAGAATATGAAGAAGCTCTGCTAAAAGGCATAAAACCTATGGAAGGTTGATCTGGTTCATCTGCTGCTGCATTGGCAGGTCCAGAATCAACTGGTTTGGTCGTTGAAGACGATGATTGACAGCAAGCTAATCTGGGAGCCCTTTTGGCATCTTCTTGAACAAAGCAACGATTTACTGTCCTCTGAAAAGCAGCCCTTGCTTCTGCTGCTGCCATCAAAGTCCTATCTATGACACAACAAAGCAGAACTTTAATCAGATATCCACATGAAAACAACTAAAAAAACAGAACATTGAGAGCCATCAAAAAAGCACATAATGCAGAAGAACAGGTAGAAGATGGTGTTCAAGATTCATATGAAGCAGAGTAACTATTCATAACAGCCAGATTCGCAAAAGATTAAGACCACATTAAGAAATAGTCTGATTATACCAAATAATTGTGTTCCCCTTCAAAGTGATGGAAAAAGGGGACAAGTTCAATTTCAGCAAGTATGCACAAAAATAAGAAATACTTGCGACAACTTCTAAAGATATCAAGGAAATCAAGAAACAAGTTAACTTACAATCCTATAGGTCACAAGCCAAATCTGGATCAGAAAACATTTGAAGTTCATGAACTTAAAATGAAGAGTAATAATTAGTAATCACAAAGAAGAGGAGATATCTGAGTTTGAATCCACAGTTCCATATAATGGTGATTTCAGTTCTTGAGATATAAATTGGCAAAGTTGAACAATCTCCCCAAACCTCTTAATAAACACCCAAATGCAAGTTCTGAAGGATTGATTAACCCCACTTGATATTCATTTGTTTTGAACACAAATGGCAGCAAAAGGAACACAAAACATCATCCCCCAACCAGTTAAATTTAGCTGCATATTTGAAGCTTAAGCAAAAAAACCAAGCCCCCCTTTTGCCCTTTGCTTCATTCCTAAGTCCAAATCAGAAAGGATTATGTAAATTGAAATCAACATCAAGAAAGAAAAGGATCCAGGTTTAGCAGACCCAAGAAGAAAAAAAACCCAGAAATCAAGCAACTCACGAACACAATCAATTTAACAAACAGATAGAACCCACTTAACAGAAACAAGCTGAACAAGAAGAATGAAAAACACAATCAATTTAACAAACAGATAGAACCCACTTAACAGAAACAAGCTGAACAAGAAGAATGAAAGCAACCCAATGATCCAAAACCCCTCAGAGATCAGCAAGAACTAAAAAAAAAAGCAACAGATTGTAAATTAAACCAATGATCCAAAACCCCTCAGAGATCAGCAAGAACTAAAAAAAAAAGCAACAGATTGTAAATTAAATGGGTACCTTGAAAATCAAGCTGAATCAATTACAGAATTTGGGTCAAACGCAAGGCTTTAGGAGATTAAAAATCTCGGGAAAAGAAATCCAAAACGAAAGGAAGAAGATGACGCATCGCGGGGGAGGAGACTGTAGAAGAGGTGTCAGTCTTCCAAAAAAACGAAAGGAAGAAGATGACGCATCGCGGGGGAGGAGACTGTAGAAGAGGTGTCAGTCTTCCAAATTCTGCCGATATTTTTATTGAATTTTTATCTTTTTCTTCATTCAGTTATCATTATTTGCGGTCGATTTCTGGAGGGAATTTTTATTGAATTTTTATCTTTTTCTTCATTCAGTTATCATTATTTGCGGTCGATTTCTGGAGGGAGCGCTTTAATAATCAACAACAAGATTGAAACCGAAATGTGGACCGAAACGGTGTCGTTACGTTAAAAACCCAACATTTTCTTGTCCCACTAGCTGTTTGCAAAAACCAGTTTTTTTTGTTTTCAAATGGTTTTGAGTAATGATTTTAAAAATTGTTTTTCAAATACTTGATTGGACCAACGTGACAATTATATATGACCATATATTTGATTAAAAGATTAATAGTTTAAATAAGAAAGGAAGGATCAGGAATATTCATATAACTCGAGAATCCGACCAATTCAAACTACTCAACCCCAATTATAAAAATTGAATTGGGTTAGAAAAATTAAAAAAATTTAAGTCTGTTTGCGGGTTGACGTTTGTTTGGTTGGATAAGCTCCACTAACCCAAAATTATAACTCAACCATACTTTTAAGATAAATACGAAGATTAAGAATGTTTGACGTTTATAACCTATGTTAGTAATGCATTGTAATTTGTGAATATTTAAGTTGGATCGTGACCGATGTTAGTAACTCAACACGATTGTGAACTCTACTCGGGTTGGTTGAGTCATGACTTAATTCACTTAAATTTGGATTTGTCCAAAAGATTTCCTTAATTCAACCCAATTCGTATGTACCCGATCAAAGACGTGAGAAAATGAATGTAATGAGGGTGTTGTGCCCATGGTTTTGGGGATTTTGCACCTTGTGAGGGAACATAAATTGAAACAATGGGTATAGCCATTGAAGCATGATAGAGTTTGGTAGGGGTTAGTTTTTGTGGTTAAAGAAGAGATCAAAAAAATTAGTGGGTGACTTTTGCAGCCCCCATATTCTATGGCTTTATGACTCAAAAAAAAAAAAAAAAA